ATCCAGGGCCTCAGCATTTCACACCACCACTCAGCAGGCACAGCCAGTTAAGTACAGCTGCATTCTTTTGAAGTAATTTCTTTCAAGATTAAAGTGTTCCGTTCCAGCAAGTTTTGAAAAACCCCTCTGGATGAAAACACTTCTTTATATATAGCCAGTGTGGCCCAATAGGTGACTATTCAAGTACAGTTATATTCAACTATTTTTAGAAGTTGTTTACTAGTTTTCCATATCTGATAACCTGAGTGAAAGACAACTACGTATCAACTCAAGCCCTTTAATTTCAGGGCTTTAACAGTGGAATTCAGCTAAACTAATTTTGATTTGAGTTACCTGAGACTTTAGACCATACTAACATCACTAGGTGCAGATTTGACACAAAATTTAGGAGTAGATAGTAAAACAGGTTATCAACAGGGGATTATCTCGGATTTAAATATCATCATTAATAAAGGCCACCTCAAGAACCTCTTCTCGGAGTTCTTCAGTACTAAGTCCCAACTCCTTCATTAGGGGGGTGTCACCCATGGAGATAACACTACACACCCCCACAGCTTTCCTCACTTCACACTGGAGGCAATTTCCCCAGGCACGAGATGGAAAAGGTGTCCTAAATTATCAAAAAAACTTGTTATTTGGAGAGGTTAGAGGAAAAGTACTGGCACTGAAGCGCCATGTAAGATGAAGATGGAAAAGGTGTCCTAAATTATCAAAAAACTTGTTATTTGGAGAGGTTATAGGAAAAGTACTGGCATTGAAGAGCCATGTAAGATAAGGGTTAAAGGTATGTAATTGTACTCCCATCTAAGAGGGCACAGCTGGATTTGGCCACCAAAGGCTGGCAGTGACCAACTAAAAAGCACCCAGATGACACCCCATGTTCAAGGCAGATGGAGGAAAAGGCAACCTCAAGAGAGAAATTAGGTAAAAGAAAATCCAACTCTGAGCTGCTCCTTACGTAGCACCTTCATTCAACCTAAGTAGGTTGAACATCTTGCTGTCTATACACATTTCCCAGATAGCACATTTTCCACATGCTGTAACGTTCCCTGGAGAGCACTGGGCTCAGTGTGGCAGGAAAACAGAAAATATTTCCACTTACAAGATCAAAACAAGGGCAAAAGAGGGAAAATTTCCTTTCCGGTCATGCTTATTTTTCAGACACAAGAATTCACTCCTAAAATAGCGGTCAGAAGAAAAGAGTCAGTATCAAGCAAAGAGAAAAGGTTGTTTGATTTAATACTCAAACCTCAGATCAGAGTTATTTTCTTAGTCTCACATTCAAGCAGGGGGAATGAGCTGCTTCTGTTTCACAGCAAAATCTTTAATTATTTTTAGTTATACACTACCAGGCGTAATACTCAAACCTCAGATCAGAGTTATTTTCTTAGTCTCACATTCAAGCAGGGGGAATGAGCTGCTTCTGTTTCACAGCAAAATCTTTAATTATTTTTAGTTATACACTACCACGTTATACACTCAACAGCATGCAAACCAACACATCAGAAAACACACATGGGGGCTGAGAAATATTTTATTTACAGGATAGGTGGACAGGTGGAAAGCACAGGAGGAGTCACTGTTCATGCTTTTAGATAAAGCACATCCCTCATTTCCCTGCGGCCTGCCTGTGGCCACTCAGGAAATAAAACAGTGCCAACAACGTGGCTGTGACACCCAGTTTGGACTGTGACACCCAGTTTGGACTGTGACACCCAATTTGGACTGTGACTTCATATTCACCTGTGATGTAAACATATATGCTGCTGTGAGAACCCGTTAGTAATCATGGAATCATCTAGGTTGGAAGGGACCTTAAAGATCATCTAGTCCAACCATCAACCCAATAAATCATTTCGTCTCAGATTAAGCGTTGCACGGTCTTTTCGAGGCTGAACTAGTCACAAGTTCAAAATCTTCAATTATAAGCCAAATATCCTGTTATTCATTCCCAGTAACCGGGCAGTAAGTCAACATTTACACTCATATCAGAAATGGCAAGAACTCACATGAGAGCTTCAGTAATGAAATTGGCTTTCGGTTTGGGGAAAATGTCAAAGCGGAGCCTACGCAGCTAGTTGTTAGGTACAAGATGGGTGCATGAATAAGAGCTATATTAGACAGGAGATTTTTTTTTTATTATTATTATTAGAATTGAAACATCAGCAGAAGTAGCACCACAGTCCTTCGATGTTTGCGTGTGTGAAAAACAAGAAATAAAATTGGATACTCGCAAGCAGAAAGAAAAAAAAATGCTGAATAACACAGAAAAACAGCTGCTGTAGTAGGAAGCTGATTATAAACTACTTTACTCATCAGTTAAAGAAAGGGAATAATGGTTGAGGACCGTGTTAGCTCTAATACAAGCTCTATAGTATTCCAGAAGCAAAACTTTCAAGAGATTTCTAAAAAAGAATCAGAACTATTCCTTCCAAGAAAAAATTAATTTATGTTCCCCATATTTATCCACTGTAAGGCTTGTGAAGGCTGTTGAAATATGTAAAAATTCTGAACCGAAAAGTCCATCTTTACACATCTCAGCTGCTTTTATTTCTAAAGGGAGCTCTTATTTTTAAAGAAAGGTGGCTCTTTAAACCTCACCACTGCAAATTCAGCTGGAATCTTTCATTGTGAGCTTTTCCTCCTTTCACCAATTGATGTAATCAATAGCTTATCTGATAATTGTGCCTCAGCGAGATGTATGAAGGCTGCTGCTTAAAGCAGGCTTTCAAACAGGTGTAACTGGAGCACAACACAATTTGGTGAATTACAAGGACTGGAATCCAGCCCCCTACTCCCACACACACTTTGTTTGCCTTGAAAAAGCTGTGACTAGTCCTCCCCCTCACCTTGGTCAGCATGACTAACACACACAGGGAACTAAGTGCACTAAGCAGAAAAAAAAACACCCCTCCTGCCCAGTCCCTTTTCAGATTCCAACTGCTATTTCACAACCAGGCAGTCTGTAAAATCCAGCAAATGCCTCAGAGCATTGGGGAATGATTTACGTTCTGGTGTTTGCCTTTTAACATGATCTAGGAACTAGTCGGTACATCACAGGCTATGGCAGCAGCAGCAAAGGCTGTTCTGGGTGGAGGTGACATCTGCTCGAGCCATTTTTTACTCCTGATGCTCTACCGCAGCAGAAGCGTCAATAAACTTGGCAAAGCAATGGAGTTTAAGAGGTTCAAGTGAGGCAAGTTTCCTCACCCTTTCACCCAATGTAATTACTACAACAGGGAAAGCAGTCCAACAGGGTTCTCCGAGCACTGCAGATGTGTTTTTAACAGAGGAAGTCAGGGGCAACATACCAGCCTTCCTTTCAGAGAATCCCCTTCTACATCTGTAAGACTGTGAGTACTTAGCACGACCATTTGACTACAAAAAACACGAATAAAAGCCAAGAAGAAATCCTCTAGTTCAGCTACAATTCCTTTTTTCCTACAGAAGTGCTCCAAATCAGTAGCAAAAATAGTCATAGTGATATTGCCAAATGACCTTGGACAATTTACTCCATTTCTTTGCCTGAAAAATAAGGTTAATAGAATATCCTGCAATACCCCTGCAAAGGGGTGTTGTAAGGCTCACTGCTTGCAAAACAAAGTTCAAAGTATTATATAAATAATTCGCATTTTAGTTATTGACAAAGTCACATTTCAAAACAAGACCTCTGGATACGACTCTAATCAACCTGTGGAATTTGGTTTGGCAAGAGCCAAGCTGCAAAGCAACAAGGTCAATGTCAAACACAACATTTAGGCAGTTTTACGACCCAGCAGAGTTTTAGTCACACTCTTCCTCCATGAAAAGGTTCTCGTAGCTGGCCTATCACTTTATCAGACAGAGGTTATCAGCCCGAAGTATCATGTTAACTACTCACAGAGATAGGATATAGTATTTTCAGACAGAATATAATATCCTCCCACCGGGAGCTGCTGCTCCAAGGAAAACTGATCTCCTAGACCTCTAAACCCAAGCCATGGATGGCAAACAGAGTTTGCCCCAGGCTAAAGCTCAACTTCTTACCATCACCCCCTCGGCCCAGACGAAAGCCCAACTCAGCAGCCAAGAGCTTACAGGAAAACAACCTCTCTGCTACGAGCTTCATCCGAGCCTCATTTCCCCTACCGAGCTACCAGGTTTCCGAGGTCTTTTTTTGGGGGGGGGGGGGGGGAGTGAGGAAAAGGAGAAAACACTTCTCTCTTCGGACGCGTTGACGGGCGGGGCAGAGGCCGGAATGAGCGAGTTTGGGGAAGGGAGGAGAAGCCCATCCCGCCGCATCCCCTCTTTAATTCCTCCGGCAGGGGGAGCGGCGCCGGGCCTTGTGCAGCTGCTGGGGGAGTTGGAACGTTTTTCCTTTCCCCATTTCGCCCCCCCACCATCCCGTCCCTGCCCACGCCTCCCCAGCAAGGAAGAGAATAGGCTGGCACCCACCCCAGCCCCAAAAACTGGGGGGGCATAGGGGGCGGATGGGGCAACGCTCCAGCCAGGCCCACCGCTCCCCAAGGCCCGGCGCTGCGGCCTGGCTGCGGCTTCCTCCTCCCGCCCGCTGAGGAGGGCGACGGTGGTGGAGGTGGGGGTAGAAAAAAAAAGACGGAAAGAAGCTCCCCTCACGCCCGCTCTCCCCCTCAGCGACAAGGCCGCAGCGCCTCACAGCCGCCCCGCGGGCCGCCGCCCGCAGGGTGTGGGCGGGGGGGGGGGGGGGGGGGGGAAAGGGGGGGGGGGAGGGGGAGGAGGGGGGATGTTTAAAGACATCTTGTGGCTTTCCCCAGCAACTTCTGGCATGAAGCAACCCCCATTACTTCAGTCTTTCCTTACAAGTCGCTGCTGCCTTTAGTAATAGAGCTTGCAACTTCTTGAAGTATCAAGAGTATATGTAGAAGGAATACTGGTAATGATCACAATTTCCGGGGGGGGGGGGGGGGGGGAAGGAGGAAAGGAGGAGAAGGAAGGGAAGCGGGGCGAAAAGGAAGGAAGGGGAAAGTGTCGGATGAACCCACCGGCGATCGGCTTGGCTGCCCCCGGGCAGTGGGTCTGGCTGTCCTCGGGTTGTCCCGCTCGGAGCCGCCTGCCCCCCTCTTTGCGCCTCTCTCTCGGACCGCTCTCCGCCCAGGCAACACAAGATGGCGGCGCTCGGCGGCCACGTCAGTGCCAGCCCCGCGCGCGGCACCACGGGTAACCGAGGAGGGCAAAGCGGCTGCGGGTGGAGGGGGGGCGTGGCCTCGAGGCGGGATGGGCGGGGCTACGGCAGGGAGCCGCAGCGGTGGAAAGGCGCTGGGGGGCGAGACCACGCCCACTCACAGAGGCCACGCCCCCCGTATCCCCGCCCCGGCGTTGCCCCGCCCCGCCGGCGCGTGACCGGGGGCGGGGCTTGGGCCGGGCTGAGTGCGCAGGGGCGGGCTCCTCCTCTTTATATATATATATATCTATATATCCATATCTATTTATGTTTATATAAATATACATTTAAAAACGGCTCGTTTACCCTGTCGCGGGGTTGGTGCGTGTCTGCCAGGGGCGGTGTGTGCCCCACCCTCCCCCCCCACCCATCGTCCATCTATTTACTATGTTAAAAGACAATTTTTGAATGTTTTAATGCTCTTTTTTTGCCCGAAATAAAGTGGGACTGCGGCTCTTTGAGAGGCCGCCCTTTGAGAGCGTCGTGGTTTAACCCCCAGTTGGCAAGCAAGGCTACGAAGCTGCTTGCCCACCTCTCCCCCTCTCCGCCCCCCCCAGGTTTGGATGGGGGAGAGAATGGAAAAGTGAGGAAAAATTCGTGGGTTGAGGTAAAGGCAGTTTAATAAGTGAAGAAAAAGCTGCACGCGTGAGAAAAGTGAAAGAAGGAATTCATTCCCTGCTTCCCAAGGAATTCCCATTCCCTGCGGGTGTTCGTCATGTTTTAAGAGTGATTTGGGGACACCATCGCTCCCAACACCCCCCCTCTGCTTCCTCCTTTTTCCTCCAGTTTTATATACACGTCCCATGGTGTGGAAGATCCCTGTGGTCAGTTGGGGTCAGCTCTTCTGCCCGTGTCCCCTCCCAGCTCCTCACCTACTCGCTGGTGAGGAGCAGAAAAGTCCTCGAGAGCTTAGAAACAACCCAAAACGCCAGCTCCTTATCACGCTCTTCCCATCCCAGCCCCCAAAACAAAGCACTTAGACCAGCTGCTGGTAAAAAAATTACACTCTGTCCCAACCGAAACCATGACGGAGAGAAAACAGAGAGGATTTGGTAAAATTTTCCCTGTTTACGGTGCTGGAAAAGGCTCAACAGATGGGGAGGACCCGCAGGATGGAGCGTGCTGGGTGCTGCCCCTCCGTGCCTCAGTTTCCCTACGCAGGGAAAAACCCTTTTAATTTTTTTTTTTCATCTTAGTAATACACAGATGTGAGAGGGAAGAAGTGAAGGTGGAGCAATTTTTGAATTTCAAGTGGAAAAAAAAATAATATTCACGTGGTTCAAAAGAGATCGGTGTAGAAACGAGATTAGTGCACGGGCAAAATAAATTTAGGATTATTTCCTTTCCGGTTTGGGCTAACTTCAAGATAAATCGAGGTCATGTGATATCCCAGGCTAAATACTAAGGGCTAAATGCTAAATACTAAATACTTCCTTTATTAAAGACAGGAAGGGGAGTTTTGAAAGACAGCAGGAAGCCGCGAAAACTGCTTATTTCTAGATTTCTCTGCAATGCTCATGGGAAGTGGATACCTCCAAGACTTCTATCCCCCTGTCAAATGGGGCTGAAATCACCCGGCAGCTGAAAACGCTCCGCAGAGGCGAGGGAAGGCAAACGGACAGATGGATGTGAGCCCAAAAAGCTTCTTTTCCTAAAAAAAAATAAAAATTGGGTCAGGCGCGCGCGAGGGATGGCAGCAACGGGGCTGAGAAATGCCAGGAGGGAGCCTGGGGTGGAGGTGAGATCCTCCAGCGAGGCACTGTCCCCGCGGGGGAGCAAATAGGAGTCAATATTATTATTATTTTACTTAAGGAAGCCCCTAAATTGCTTTAAGATCTCCCCAGAGAGTCAAAACGCAGCCGGAGAGCCGACGGTCTAAGGAAGTGATGGCAAAGATGCGCCGAGAAATGACATTAATTGTATTTTTTTTAAAATTATTATTTTTTTTTCCCCCCTGCACTTCAGAAGCCGACCTGTCTCAAACGGGGGGGATTTCAGGCAGAGAATAACTTGGTTGGGGGTGAACAGATTGCTGCCCACCTCCACGTCCAGGCGTGGACAACTACCACTGGGATGGCAGATGTCTCCCCGTCCCTGCGGTGCCAGCTCTTTTTGCTCTTTGCAAAGCCCTTTTTTTTTGGGGCACGGCATCCTCCAGGGCCTGCTTTGAGCCACACTGAGTTGAGCCAAAACCCAGGGTTTAAATCTTCAGCGATGCCTTCCAGAAAGGAAAGGAGAATTTGCGTTTCCTCGGGGGCTTCTGGCTGGTTGGGGACATTTTGGGTGATCCTGGGGCAGGAGCCGTGCCGGGAGGCCACGCTCTGTGTGTCTGTGATTGGGCTGATAGGATGAAGCAAAACCCTGTTAATTCATTTATTCCCCATCCCCAAATCCCCTCCCACCCATAGCCCAGCCAAGAAACCATTTATTTTACAGCCCCATCTCCGTGCCCGGACACTGAACCAGATCAAGGCTCTGCTCTGGGTTAAAAATAACCCTTCTCTCCTCTTTTTTTTTTTTTTTTTCCTCTTTTCTGCTTTATTTTTATCCCACAGCAATTCCTCACTTCATCTCACAGGGCTGGGGGAGGGAGAGAAGATGCTCATCCCACCATCCCCATCACCTCCCACCCTTCCTCGACGAAAATCCAGCTGACGGAGGTGCCAGCCGGGTCCCGAAGCGAGTCGAGGGAGGTTTATTTCATTATTATCATCCACGATACATCATCTGTAATACATAATTTTGTTATTAGCATCTCGGCAGATCCCAGAGTCGACGCTGTGTGTGAGGAACCGGTAGAAATTTGGCCCCGTTGGCCTGAGTCATTCATGATGGCTGCCGTGATGCAAGGAGAACACTTTGCCCGGTGACTCATGACATTTAAAGGAAGGAAGAGGCCTCGTTTTATTTTATTTATTATTTTTTTTTGCAGCTGGGAGAGCAGACATGTCGCTTGCTCTCTCTTTTCCGTGAAAAGATGATGTGAGAGAAGGACAAAATGGGACAACATCCCACGGGTGGGCTGTTGGGTGCTCCTGAGGCTGCCGAAAGCCCTTTGGCTTTATTTCGGGATGGCCCCTTTGGAGCCAGAGAGTTTCCCTCCCCGCCGGGAGCCTGGGATGACAAATCTGCCAAGCTGAACTACACCCTGTTCTCGCTGCCTTTTGAAAAGAAAAAAAAAACCAACAAAACCCACCCTAGTGTTTGTGAAAGGCGATTTTTTTCTGAGGTTATAAAAATATCATCCGGAATCACTAAGCCATGCTTTTCCATTTGCATCTGCCCCAGGAAAAAAAATACCCTGGGCTGGATCTCCTCTAACTCCCTAAATAATCCCTAAAAAGTCCCTAAAATCCCTAAATAGTCCCTAAAAATAATTTTTCCCCTCAGTGTGGGCACGTTGTCTTTAGTGAGAGGATAGTTCTTGATGATCATCTGCTGGTGTCTGGTATGATGGGGTGGTGGAGATCTCTGAGCTGGCGGCAGCGATGTCCAGCCACCGAATCCTTCCTGGTGGTGATGACTATGTAATTTTTGGGGTATTTTGGGGTGATGCTGGGGTGGGCACCCACCTGGAAGGGGCTGAAGGACATGGGGGTCGATCACTCCTCTGCTTTCTGCTGCCCTAAAGCTCCTGCTTTGCGAGGCCGTGGTGTCAGGTTGGGGGTTGCTCACCTTTGAGTCTCTCACCTTGGGGTGAGAATTGCAATTACTCCCAGGAGCTGAGAAATTACTCCCCAACAGCAATTTGTTACCTTATCTGCCAAAAAAAAAATAGGGGTTATTCCTTGGATTTGGGGTCTTGGAAACCACCTATAGATGGGTCTGGGCTGTTGAAAAGCCAACAGATCTAGTCTTGCTGCTGACATTTTGCTGTCCTGGCAGGAAAAGGAAGGTGGAAACGGGGAGAAAAGCAAGATGAACTCGAAATGGCTGCCTTCATAGGCAGAAAAATAAGAATATTTGCAGCAAGAGCTTTTATTTCACCACAGTTTCTCCACTCACAGCTGACTTAGGTGGCAGAAGGACCCACGCAGCCAGAGCATCTTTTGAGAACATCTCAGATGTGGGACTGAAGCCTGGAGAGCGAGGGAAGCAGCTCGGCTCTCCGCCCATGGCACCAACTCCCGTGGGATCTTGAGCAAACTGCTGCAGCTCTCCAGCTCTCTCAGCCTCACTTTTTTTTTTTTTTTCTCCTTAATTCGGAAATAGCTGCACTTCGTGACTCAGTGCCGTGCCGTGTAACCTGCTGGTGTGAAGAGCTTTGTCTAAAATCAGCATTGCTAATTGCTGACACCTCTGGATAAAGCTCTCAGCTGCCTCTGCAGCGGGGTGATGCCCTGTTTGAGCAGCCTTGGAGACATCTTTTGGTAGCTGGGGAAGATGGGTTAGAAAGGATACGTTGGTTCCTCCTCTCTCATCTAGCCATCCCTCCTCCCTTTGGCTACCAGAGGGCTGATGGCCCAGTTGACCAAGTCCCTCAGCTCTTCCTCAAGTCAATGGAGATAAAGAGGTTCACCCGTTCCGCTCCAGAAATCACCTCCAGTAGGTCTCCATCACCAGTTGAGGGAGGTCTCCAGGGGAGATGTCCACTTTCAGCATCAAACTACCCCATTTGGAGGGACTTTGTGTAATTTTATGGAGCTCCATCAGGGAAAGCTGTTTGGCCATCATCAGGGAAAGCTGTTTGCCCATCATCAGGGTACCATGGAGGATTTGGTGTGGCACATATCCCTCTGCTTTTAATGACCAAGCACAAAAAACCTAGATTTTAAATGCTCAGCTGAAATATTTCACCTCTAGAAGCACGGTGTTCTGAAATCCCTTGGTTTGCTAGAAAAGCTGCCACCTCTGAAGCACTGGTATTGTGTCCTATCACCCCTGACTTTTTCCAGCCAGGATTCCCAGTTAATGAGCTGTAAAAGAGGAGAGGTCTCCGGCTTTCCATGTCAAGTCGCTTGGCTACGGAGATCCAGAAGAAAATGTAGCACCAGAGGTAT